GTCATTTTCTGCAATACAGGCGCACCCCTTGAATGTAAATGAGCATTATTGAAGTCAAGATGCTTCCATCAAGTCCTCTTACGCGAGCACCTGAGCGGGCTCTTGTCTCTGTTGGTATGTTGAGAAGTTGAATCTTTCATAGATATCTGGCTGTGTGCTTAAAATTGATCATAAACTAGGTAAATATGATTACTGTGGATAAACTGAAAGATTTGTAATCACATAATACCAAAGACATGTGAAGTTTACTCGCACACAGTTAGCTGAACAGTTTAGAATCTGGACACGTTAACTTTTGTTCTTGACACTGCTTTTATTCAACCCATGGCTTCTTTTAGGAGACAACTGGTGCTCAAAAGATCTTTTTCTGTATATTCAGAAAAAGTTATTTTTTCCCTTGCATAATGTGAAATCCTTGATAATTTTGACAAGAGTAAGAACAGTATGATCAGATAAAGTGCACCGAAGCCAGTTTCTGTATCAAAACAGTTGTTGCAGCACCTCTTGGTGAGGTGAGGATGAAGGAAAGACAACAGAAAAGACAACAAAAAAGACAACAACAAAGTCTCTGTCATCCGTCTCATTCTCCTTCGCCTCTAACCCTTTTTTCCTCTGCTCACCTCTTTCTCTGGCTGTATCTCTCTCTCTCTCTCTCTCTCTCTCTCTCTCTCTCTCTCTCTCTCATGTTGCAGCATCAGACATCATGAAAGATTCACAGCTCTGCTTTTAACATCCAACCAAAGTCCTGTCTCAAACGCACAACCCAGCACTCATAGATCTTCGCCTGTCTAGAAAAACAATGAAGAGATGGCACCAGGAGTGACACAAACACATGGAGGAAGGAGTGCAACGCTATGGAGAGGAAGAGAGACCCAGCGGGGGTCTGCGTGAGTCTACGCAGAATATGTGTGTGTGCAGAATATTCAGCGTTCCACATGGTGGCGTGCGCTGTGAGCGCCTGAGCGAGCACGTGATGGGTGACAGATGACGGACAGTGCCGTTTTCCTCCCTCAGATCCATACAAAAATACTCATGTGCACCACAAGCACTGTGAGCAGATATGAGACTACATCTGTTAAACTGGAAAGAAGCCATTAAACACGGCCCTTTTCAGGGAACTGAAAGCATCAACACCAGGAAGGTAAACCTTCACACGCAAATGTCACCTGCTTCGATTTGCTGGTGCTTAGTGTAAAACAGGTCTGAAACATAACTAGAAAGTTCAAATTGGCTTTTTTCTGTGATGTTTGCTTTTTGTGGATTGTGTGTCGTAACATGACAAAAGATGAAAAAAAGAACAGCACAAAAGTGATGACGTAAATGTAACTCTAGCAGAACCTAAAATGATGATATGGATATGTTAAAGACTAAGTGTTTTTTCAAAGTGGAAAATTTGCCCAGAGGCAATTTATCTTGAGCAAACATGACATTTAAAAAACAACGAAACAGATGGAAAGAAATGTTCAAGAAATCTGATTTAAGTTGGGCTCAAGGAAGTTGACTACTCAGTAGAACATAACAGTATCAATGCACCACTCCACCTTGGAGCTGAGTATTAAACACAGACTATTTATATGCAAGGTACTAACTAATGTTCACTCAACCCAAACCTCAACATTGAATAATGACACAGTTAATAAGGAGACAAAACACATGTAAAACCTACAAAATATAAAGTGAACAGGTTATGTAGTCTGTGTCTGTTTCTCGGTGTCACTCGATCACATGGGTGTGTGCTTCTCCACACAGACAAAGCATGTGTGAATGAAGCTAAGTGTCTTCCCTGGAGAAGGTGTTGGCTTTCACTAACTTTTAAACACAAACTCCTTCATGCTATAGGAGGAGCCAGGCTTTAACTGACCAGACGGAGGGGTTAGGATACGTATGCTAAAACCCCTCGCAGGCACAAAAACAGGCCGACAGACAGCAGAAAGACAGCTTCCATTCAGGTACTCACATTGTGTTAAACCTATAGGACAAAAGACAGGAGCCAAGACTGAAAATAATAGGCTTTTACAAAACTCTAGGTTGGAATTTGGAGCATCTCCTTTTTATTCTTCACAGATTTCGGTATCAAATTCATCATCTCAACTTTAAAACATAACACTAGCACAATGTTAAGCCCTAGAAATAGCAAGCTTTGTAAACTAGAGTGTGATTCTCAATATAGTTGATATCTTAACGAGATTATCTCATTCTTGCAAATATTAATTTCTTTCTTGGACAATTTTATTAACAATGCCCATACACATTGTTACAAACTGTATTTTGGTCTTAGTCTTTGAATGCATGCAGTTGAAACTGGGCTCTTATAAATCTTTACACTTGCAGATTACAGAAAATTCCACAGCATTATAAAGGATCCCAACTAACAACTAAAACATGATTGACAAAAGGACGGAAAAAAACTCTATTTGCCCTCTTGCATCCAGTGCACGTTGCTGATGGGGAAGGATAAGTAGAAGTAGACTGGGAATAAGTCAAAGCGTTATGAAGAGACAAGAAAAAACACAGCTTGGCTTTAAAAACCATAAACGGAAGTTGAACAAACAAAAACAGGCTTTCCGAATCCTGGATGTTTGTGTTGTTGTTTGTTGTTTCTGCCTAGTCTTGGAAGGGTTTTGTTGTACCGGGACGCTGGTTCATTGACAGTAAAATGCGTCCTAGGAATGAAATTAAACTGCATGATGCTAAAGATACATATTATTAAGATATTTTGGCATGATAGCATATTTCAGACAAAAGAAATCCAGAGAGGTGATAGAGGTATCATGCCTGGATATTTTTAAAGCAAATTTTCAACCCTGGACAACAGTAGAAAAAATCGTGTTTACTGTTTTTTGACATAATTTTCTTTTCCTTCCAAGCATTTTTTAGTATTGTTCTTCGTGTTTGGTTGCAAAAACTGGAACTCAGGAAGGAAGAAACGCTTGTAGTTGTTCTTCTCCCAGTTACATCACGTTATACATTCTGTTTGTATAAGAATATCTAAATATTATTCCTCAGTGACCCTGGCATGACAGGGCAAAGAAATTTTCTCTATTTGCGCTTAAAGCAGTCAAAGCTGAACCGACGTACATGCGGTGTCCATGATGAGAAAGACTGAAAGGCCTACAGGAAATATATGCCACATCTCGCCATCTTTCTGCAATGACGTAAATTTCAAAGAGTTCTGGGAACTCAGAAATGACAAAAGCAGATCAAGGTCCAAGTGGCTGAGGCCTTGTGTTTTTCATACGCCAATAAAAGAGAGAGATTCATTCTGGGTCTCATTCACAGTTGTACGTGAAGCCCTGATAGAGACCCATGTTAACCCGCCTCACCCGTCTCATATGTGTCTTTCCTCTTTACCTCTCCACTCACTGTTATCTGCGGTAATGCAGAGGTCTCTCTCATTCACACAGCCACACACTCACACACCCACCCACACACACACACACATCAGGCATTAATAACTCATGAGCCTGTACGATTTTCATTGACACAACATGAAATGACCTTCAGACTGTTCACATAGAGCACACACCTTGATATCACCTCACATTCATTTCCTCCGTTGCAAGGCCGTTTGCTTTTTGTTCATTGATAGGTGAAAAACAGGAAGAGACACTTGGCCCCAAATGATTGTCTTAAAGCAGGAAAATAAGTCACTTTAACTTAACTCACGGCCAAGAAGGTTTAATCAGTGTTTGTGGATAGCAGTAACCAAAAAGAGAAGATGAGAAGACTTTGATGTGGGACGTGAGTCGGACTAGACCCCAAGCTGACTGGTTATTAGTCTTGCTGAGCGATTGAGTGATGATGAACTGCATGATTGCCGCTTAGTTGGGTAGCTGATTGACAAGAAACTGTTTAGAGATTTCTGAGATATAGTAGCTACAACTCAGTGCCCCAGGCAAGAATAAATTACTTGTTCATAAAAAATGGTTTCAGCATATCTAAAGGTACGCAAACTCTTGCAGTTTGCAAAAATAGGACTTTCATATATATATGCATATATATATATATATATATGTAGAGAGAGAGAGAGAGAGAGAGAGAGAGAGAGAAAATTGGTGATTCAATAGCAGTGTGCAGAAAGCTTGTCTTTTGTGTTTGTTTTTTTTCAAATGTTTTTACCCTAACTGTGCAAATATGAGCAAACAACCATGAATCTGATGAGAAATCTCCCGCCCACATGCAGTTCAGCCCATGGCCGACAATTGAGAATGAAATAGAAAAGATAACAGGGATGCACAGGAGTGCCTGGATACTCCTCATTTGGGGTGTATTTTTTAGATGACATGGATTGGACTGCAAAAAATGGGTGAAACTAATGGGCACACTCAAGACACATGAACTGCACACCTGCCATTTAGGACAGAACAGGTAAATGTAACCTAAAACTTGGCTTTATGTGGGGATTTTCATTCACACCTTTTACTGTGCACAATCTGTGCATTCTCTAAAGAACCCAACCTTAACAAAGAATTTTAGATGGATATTGATAGGACTGTTGAAGAAGACATGTTAAACATATCAAGTTGCCATGAATTCTCACACGTTTAACTAAAACACCACCAAAAAAAGCTGTGATTGGCCAAACATGATTAAACAATAATTGTTCATCCAGAATGAACAAAAGTCGTTTCACCAAGAGGCAAAAACCTTCTTTTTCGACCAGTCGTGTCCTACTGTATTAACTCACCGGAGATCTCGGTCTGAGGCACCCCTGTCAGAGTGAACCCTTTCCCGGTGTAGAACTGCCGCAGGTCGGTGCAGCTTTTGTCCGCCCCGGCCACCGGGCCCGGGGACGCGCAGAGACACGCCGCCCCGGCCAGGAGCACCACCAGGAGACGCATTTTTAGGATCTTCTCACTCTCTTTTTTTCTCACAGAAAAAAAAAAATCCCAGGCAGGAGTTTTTTCCTCAAAAGGTCCCTTTGTTTTTAAGCCTTTTGCCGGTGTATTCTAAAGAGTTTCCGACGTGATGAAGTGGACACGCGCCCCGTCCAAGCCTGCTCAGAGCTCCGGGTAATGGACATTCACGCAGCCGGACAGGAGAGGTGAGGGAGAGCCCGGTCTGCGACACACGAGAGCTGCTGTGGGTGTCAGGTACACCCCGCTTGTTTCCTCCTCCTCCTTCTCCTCCTCCTCCTTTTTCCTCCTTCTCCTCCTCCTGTGCGCGTCCGGCCGTGCGCTGCAGAGATGTCAAGAGACAAAAGAGGGGAGCGCAGAAAGAGTGCGGGCGCAGGTGCCGCTCAGTCCCAGCTGCTGCGGCTCCACAGCCGCGCTACCGCCTCATGCTTATGGAAATAAGCATGAGGCTCCAAAAAAAAGCCACAATAGAACTCAGAACTGCTACTTTAAAAAGAAGGTTTCGGACAAGAGGGTAAATGTCCGCTGACACTCCTCCTTCCAGGCTCTGGGACAATGAAATGAGTGCAGGTCGGAGTGTGCGTCTGGCTGCTGATGCTCTCTGGCTTGTGTGGAAAGTGAGTGTGTTTTCTTGTTCTAAGCTAAGGACCTCGGCCTCAACGACGCCACCTGCAGCTCTGAGAAGCAACGATTGAAGGCAGAATTTGAGTTTTTCTTGTTCTAGTTCAATTACGACCTGTTTGGCGCTTTGATTCTGCTGTTTCTGCTCTGAATCACATTTTTAAATCAGATAGATATGATGTAACTGTTCCTGTTTTGACAATCTTTTGATTTTTTTTAGTTATTGTTTGCCCATTTTCAAATGGGAGGTGTTTGATGTCTCTTTAGAGCAGAATACTATTCAAGTGCTGCAGTGTTCAACTTGTATGGAAATGCTCAAGAAATTGGCTGTCTGCCTTCATCTGAGCTGTTTAGCATATATTTTGTCATGTTTTCCTCAAAGCCACGAGGATTTCAAAAGATCATACCTTGTCTCTACACTATGTTGCATTGTACCACAGAAATACTCGCACACCATTTTGTGAAAATTAGAACTAAATGTGTTACGTTACATTTATAGAATGCTTTAATAAAAGGTGGCTTTGATTTGGCGGATAGCGTCTCAGAGGGCTGCAGATCTTCTGCCAGGGAGTTTCAAAGCTAAGAGGATTTAGCTGAATTATTCCTCTCTGACACAGCGCTCAGTTGGCTCGCAGCCTCCCAACATCAGACGAACTGCAGTCACTTAAAAGTTGATTCTGAGGTCAGGACTTGAGATTCACATTTATTCTCTCTGCAAGCGGATGCACGATTCAATGAGAGGTTTGAATAACAAAGACGGAATTAGCCTTTCTGTAAAAAAAAAATATAATCCTGACTCACTCGGCAGCCTTAAATTCAGTGTGAATATCTGCAGAGGGGCCATTGACAGGTAGAAATTGAATGCCTTCCTCTAGCTCTTTGGCAGAGCTGGTGGATGTGACCGATGAGCTGTCTGACGCTCTCCAATCCACACATCCTAAATCATCCCAAACCGTCCACGTCCAGAGGCTGGCTGTCCTGAGATTTTACTAATATCTATAATGTATCTGAATGGAGGTGTAATTTTCTGGACTCTGAAGCAACAGAGGGTTTAAATTAGTTCTCGTTACTCAGAAACTGGATGTGGCAGATGAGTGCAGGGAGGAATTCTGTGAGAGTGACGTTTGAGGCTACGCAGGTCACCCTCAGCATTAGGGATGTTAATTAATAACACAATGTGCCATATCAGGCCAAAAGAGATTATAGTATTATGGCTTCTTTTCTGTGGAGCAATATATAGTCACTGAATCCCCTCAAAAATCCCTTCAGAAGATTAGTTCACAGCAACTCTCACAGCATTGAGATTCCAGTGGGCCATAGACCTTTTTTCAACGTGACACAGTAAAGGTGCACAAAAGCAGATCCTTAAATGGAACTTGCCCTCCCTCTTCTGAGCATCGACTTCATCCCAATCAAAGATGCTGAAGATCAGCCAACCACTATAATCATCTCATAGTATGTCTATCATACCAAATATAACCACATGCATCACAGGTATGAACTCCACCACAAAAAATTACTCTGCAAAGTATGTACATCCATACAATCCTTATTGTATAATGGAGAAACATATATCAACTGTAGATTATCAAATTTATACTATAATGAATACAAATTAAGGGTACAGACTTTTACAGAAGGGATATTCAAGACTTCATCAGGTCCTTTAGGACAGATTGTAGCCTGTACAGGCAGTTCGATTAATAGAACGCATTTTCAATAAACAACAGACAGACAAACTGCAAAGCACTGTTCTACAAACAGCATCGGGCCGGGGTAAGTTTTGATCGGGTTAGTAATTTGTTACCCTGGCAGCATAAATACTGTAAGGCTCAGTGTGCTGAAGGAGATTGACACATACCGGCCACCAAAAAGCTGGTCGATACCGGTTCAGATAAATTACCAACACGCATGGCTGTCTGGAGGTTCAGGAACAGAACAGGGCTTCTCTGTCTTAATGCAGCCAGATGAGAATGTTATTTTAAAGAACGAAAATATTTCAACATGCCTGCGGTCCGTCAAGCTATTGCATGTCAGATCAATACTGCAACTCTATAAACTGGTTTGAACTCATACCACAATGCTTATTCACTGTAACATTGTGGAAATTGTCTGTGGACAGGCACAAGTATCATCTTGACTTTCTGCTTGGCACATCACACCGCCAGAATTTCAGTGCTGGGTAAGGCCACCATAGCAGTTATGTCAAAATGTTGTCAAATTGCAGGAAACCACTCTGTTTGCACATTTCAGTCCTTGGTTGTTTAGCTAAATCAAATGAAAACCTGCGGGAATGCATCCTCCAAACCCATATATGACTGAGTTCTGTATCTTAGACTTATATTTTCCTCAGGAATGATGTGAGGATGGCAGAGCAAGGTCAGGTAGAAACATCCAAATTAACCAAAAGATTGAACCAATTTCATCATCTTACAGCTTATTTGAATTCTCAGCTATCTTTTATCTTCTCTCAGCCAAGCCCACACATAAAGACTTAATACTTTAATGCTCACTATTCTTCAGTGCAATTTAACTTTAAGATTTGCACCTTTCTCTACAAAGTCACACAGTATCTTATAGTATCACACAGGCAGACAGATCATATGCTTGTGTACTTTCAAGTGCGTGCCAGGGATGCATTGAAGTGTGAAAATGTCTGGCAGTAAAATAATGAAAGAGCAAGCAGCTTAGCCTGCTGCGACCTGTGCACAGCGACCTGTAAGTCTGTGGTGCGGTGAACCATTTTCCGCTTTGCTCTGCTTCCTCTCCAGTCAGAAAGTCAGAGTCACAGATGTTTTCTTTTCAGGCGACTTTAAACCATTAGCAGCCTTGACTTCTGTCCATTTTGCATTGATGGCCTCTGCAGTTAAAGGACTATGGCTAAGGGAAGAAATCCACAAGGGAGAATGTACAGTGACACCTGATAAATGTACTTGCATACCCACAAATATTCAATTATACAGATGATGAATTTGATAACTTACCTGCCACCCGCTTTTCAAGGTATTTGTCATTCAAGATAACATCTCTTTGCTGCAGCCAAAAACAGAAATGCCATCCAGTCAAAAGTGAACCTGCTGAAACCTGAAGACTGTGAGGTTAGCACAGAAGGCCAAAGGAAGTCACATGAATAGGAGAACTCATTCAAGTAGAGCTTTTGTGGCCATGTTAAAAGTAATAATTTAGGATACTGCTCACTTGCGTGCTTATCTACTAGTTTGGTTCAGGGTGAAAAATCTCACTTAAATGCTGAAACAGATTTTCCTGTGATGAATAATTCCCTACTGTTATTAACTTTGCATGCTTTATGTGGCAATGAGAATTGCATCTGAGTTATGCGGTATAAGATGATGCAGATTGAAGATGCAGATGAATTTAGATTTAGACACACATTTATCAAAGTAGCCAGCAGAAATAAAAAGAAGCTTGTGTAATCCAAACAAAATTATTTAACAGATTGTGTGTTTACCCCCTCAAATATAAGCAGTGATCCTGTGAAATGCTGCCCCTTATAAACAACATGTGGGAAATATGAGATTATAATTTGGGGCATGAAACCCCGAATGTATGTTTTTCAAAACATATTATATATTTTTAAGGTTCAAGTTACATCTTCTAACTTGAAGAATTGTGTGGTTAAGACATACGGCCTCAGTTCTAATGAGATGTGAGATTATCCGTATTCTGTTTTTGTCACCACAAAATGTACATGCTGAGAACACGGCGTCTACCACTCTGACGTGTCTCTCATAAATGAAACTGGTTAATCAATACTGAGAGTGCTGAAACGTGTGTGGGATTCGGTGAAATTATTCTGTGCTCTCTTTTTCAGACAGAAAATTAAGTTTAAACAGCTTTCAGCTACACACTCAATGCTAGATTGGTGTGACAGTGTAGTAATGACACTGGTATTACAGACTGTGGACAAGGAGATTGACAACCCCCAATCACGATCAGCTTTCAGCATAAAATGAGTCCGAAAGACGCTGTCTAAATTCAGACTATACTGTCACACCCTTAGAAGTTATTTGACAGTAACTGATATGCCGGGTTGTTTTATCCACCTAGACGCATTCAGAAACAACAGACTGCTCACATTCACATGGATCAGATGTTGAATTGTCTCACTGGTTTGAAATGTCCCCTCTGGACAGAAAGAACAATTACTATTACATATGTAATTATCAATTAGATTTAGTTTTTTGTGCGTATAAGAGCCTTTGGTCTTAATTTCTACTACTAAAACAGAAGTGAAATTGTGTTGAGCACTTCGACTCATTCACAGTAAGTAATCTGATGTGTGCCTTGAAGGCAGCAAACACTGATGATGATGAATATGACTACAATAGTTTAAACCTCAATCATAGCCCTTAGACAGGTTGATAATAATTGCATCTCTAATTTCATTAGTACTGGCACAGAGAAAAGATATTATTCACTCCATAAGCCTTTTGAAAGAAGATACTGTAAATGTCCTGTTTCACAGCCTGTCTTTGCCCTGGTTCAGACTGATTTTTTTTTCACCAACACTTATCATCCAATTTCATTTGACTACCAGTCTTCCATTTGCTATGTTCAGAAATTAGTTGCTTTTATTGACCCTTTTGCTCCTTTTGACCAAAACGCATCGAGTAATGAAAGCAGCATTCAAAGGAAAAACAAACAGAAAAAAAAGCTTGAAACAACAACAACTAACAAGAAATGCTAAAGGATAGAATTGATTTGTGGCTGATTTACAATATGTGCTAGACTTAGATGACTTAACATCAAGATGAAGGATTTGGAGCACTCCTCCTCCCCCTCAGTCTTCTTCCTCCAAGCTTCTGTCCCTCCCTCGCTGCCTTATTCTCATGGCAATTTGCATTCAATCATGTCTTTATTTAATATCATCTACTGTCAGCATCCAGTGCCAGCATAGCAGTCTATGCCAAGTTCCCGATAATGCCAATGCAATCACAGTAATCCCTCACAGGGTCAACGACCTGCAACCATGTTCTCACATAATACATCCACAAGTTACGGATGGCCTCAGTCTCATGCACGTTTAAACGTGTATGAGCAATGCAACAAACTAAAGAAAAACTAACAAAATCTCTCTTTGTTTGGTGTAAACCAGCTGTGTTTATGTAGTTTAGCAATGCCCTGTTGCATCCAGAAGTCAAGTAAGTGTTTTAAGTGTCTGAACCATACACTTTAAAATAGATTTCTGAAGCTAAACTTCAAGTCAATGTTACAATGCTTTATTTTCTAATCTGGTGAAGATGCAAAGGCTGCACACCTAATGTACCTTTTCTTGTAATTGTCTACATTGTGATACTAATGGCTTACAAGTGAGATCAGATGTTTTCACATCTGTAAATGTCATGCAGCTTTGAAGGGTGAAAGAACTAAATGTGATGCATGCAATAACTCTAAAGTTTACTGAAGGGAAACATGAGGGGAAAACCCAAACCCTGCTTACAGGATATTGTACAGCAATTTTTTTTCCTAAATGTAAAGGTCAGATTTGAGTGAATATATAATATTAAAATGCAGTGTACAGTCACTTTCATAGGTCCCTGAGGAGTAAATACTAATTAGTAATGGATGGAACGTCTTTGTGTTTCGTTTCTGTTGCATCAGTTTTTGCAATGATAGAGCTCAAGGTAGTCAGAGCAAGTCCATACTATAAAGGCCTACTATCTAATTGTTATCAAGCTGTTTTTTCACTAAGAAACACAAAATCAACCAACAAAGTCATGATTGAATCTTTAAGTTGTGGAGTCTTTTTCTTTCCAAAAAGATTCTATATTGGGATATGATTTATAGTGCAAGTAGCTGTTTTCGGTTGTGGCTTAAATCATGCTTTCCACTTCACATTTCACTTCTCGTTGTGACCATGTTGTTCATCTTCTACTTAGACTTTCATGCAATATATATGACAAAACCATATAATTTATTTGAAAATACTTTATTACTAGAGACATCAAACCCATGGTTAATAATAACAACACAACATGTTGAACTAAAATCATTGGCTTAGTTTTCTTTAGAACTGTTTTTTCTGGAGTCTGGATAGTGAAACCACAGGTTTTCTACACAGATTTATTTATTATTTATTAAAGTACTATAACCAAACTAGTAGAGCCGTTAAACTTGGATCAAGCAGATTAGCTTCTCATGGCATACCAACACACTTTGACACATACTTGTGGCGAGTGTAGCTGCACAGCGGTTGAGAAACAGGAAGTAAAATCTGTGACATTTATAACTCTCAAATCAAAGTGCTCGATCTCACGTGCAGACACAGCATTAAACATTTTACATTGCTGTCACTTAAAGAATTTTTAGCTTCATTGCATGTCAGACTTGTTATACCAAATTGTTAGTAATATTATCTGAACATATGCACTTTTTAGAGCTGTGAATGCTCATTATTTTATGGCCCCCTTATACAAAAACAATGAGCCACAAAAATAGAGAAACATGTATTTTCATGTTTCAACATTCCCTTTAAAACATGCTAGTAGTCAACCTTAGTCTTACTGCAGATAGAGAAAGAACAAAATACTGTGCTCTGGCTCAGGTAATCCTTTCTGTTTATGAATGAATGCATTTAATTTCTGTGTCTACCAACGTGTACTGCAACTTTGTTTCATCCAAGGTCACCCCCCCAGCACACTGTAAGAGTTGGTTTCAATTAAAACTTGTTCTTAATTCAGCACATATACCATTAAAAAAATTAAAAATAGGAAATTTTAAACACTGCGTTGAAAATTGCTCAGTTGAGTAAACATGCAGGTTCGGCTCCCTGCCCAGATAATTTATGCACTGAAACCTTTTATTATTTCTTTAACTGTCTCATATTTCAGTTTCACATGGAAAACTATGTCAGGTGAAGTAAGTGAACACATTTGTAGAGATGTAACAGCACACGATGAGAGACAACATAAAGTGTCTCTCTAAAATATGAAAACAAAAATACACAAGGTTAAATAATTAATGCTAAATACGTTGCTCATCTGGGAAGTAAATTTATCAACCACTGACTTGATAAATCTGTATCCTTTTGAACAAATGTAATCTTTTCCCAGTTTTGTCCTGCTGTTATGTGCAGACTAAAGGAGTTGACTCATCAGTGTCAGGAGGATTTGATCATCCTAATTCATGTGGATAACATTTAAATAATGTTTTTGGGTCAGCTGTGCCAAAATCTTTTTCATTCTCTAATCTTCACTGGTGACATCCAACTGACACGGAAAACGAACCTGGGATTAAAACCATATCAGTGCTGTGATTTGTTGTATTTTATGAGATCTTATTTAAAGAAACATTCACATCTGGAAACTGGCCAAGTTTTGAATGCATATGACATTTTAGCTTCTTAATATATCAGTGAGATTACAGTAAACCTAATTATTAAGTCAGGATGTCATTTAGGTTGTTTATCTTTTCTTGTTTTGACTGCTAGATGAAGCCCCGTAATAAACCTCTTGGCAGTGCTTTTTTAATTTTGCCCACTTGAGAAGGATAAGTACTCTCAACAAATTTTTCATACAATTACTGAAGCTACATAATTCATTACAGAACTAGAATAGACAAATGTTCCAATGGCACAGTTTCCTTGGTTATTTAAGGAGATATCTCTGGATGGATGCAGTTTTTAAGTTAAGCAGACTGGTAAGACTCTTAAGCAGTCTCTCACACTGTAATCATTCGTATTACAGTAACAGAATCTCCAGAACTAGCATGAGCTAAAGAGCATGTTTGAGTGGGAAAAGAAGGTCAGAGCCCCAAAGTCTGTCTAAGTCTGACTCATCGGATGTAGACTGGAGGAGTTTGGCCCTTTGCTATGGAAACAACAATCTCTCAATAAGCAGCCTACAAGCTCCCACACTTCGATTTTGTCAGGGCTCTGTTGGTATATCCTTGACTTAATATAGCCTTATACATTTGTTAAGTGTTTTTCCTCCATATCTGAAATGATAACAGCATTGATGCCTTTTCTTTAGAGGTAGCTCTTGCAATATGTGTGTGTATAAACCTAGAAGTTATAAAAGTAGCTTTTTCTTTTCTTTTCAAAAATGTGTCTCAGCAGACACTTAGATTCCTGTTTACTTCACATGCACCTTTACTGTACTGGTATGCTTGCTGAAAGGTCTAACTGTCAAGTAAATGTCAATACAACTTTCCATTAACGTCCAAGTATTGTTTCTATATTAATCTATATATACAAATCAAGCCATTGTTATCTTCTGAATTCTTCATATAAATATATAATTTATATATATTTGTATTTACATAGCTCTTCATAAAAGTCAGAAGTACCATTCTATCAAAGTTAAATACAAATGAACATGTGTAGAGGTCAGTACAGGTAATAGAAAAATGCATTCTGTGCACCAGCAGCTGTAATAAATCAGCAGCTTGTCCCATCAGGTAGGTCACCCAAAGTAAAACCATACACAGCAGTTGAGCTGTGCTTTCTCTAACTCAAAGCACTCCATCGCACATGGCTGCCTTTCAACCTTTTATGTCGGTTCATCTGCAGATCTGTCTCTTCATAGTCAGCGTGGTTCCCATGGAGATAGCAGTAAAAGCGGCAGAATTAGTAAGGTCAGAGGTTCAAAAGTCATCTTGTGGGCTGAGCTGTGAACAGGCACCTGACAGACCAAATAAAACAGAAAAAAATATTCGTCTACATCACTTCTTTAAATGGCTGTATATGCAAATAGATTTGTAATCATGTAAATTAAATGTTAAGCTTCTCGCTGGAGCTTTATTCTAAAGCAATGAGTTGAGCAAAACATAACATATCGAGATCTATTTGAAAGGGCACAGTAAATGATGGACTATTTGAAAAGATTCTATATTTGCTTCTTGACTATTAATGAGTTCAGTTACATGCTATGCTGAAGACAAAAATAAGTTTTGCATTAATGGCCACAGATCTGTTCCAAAGCTGAATAAAGGCTTATAAATTAACAACATGTATGAAATGTTTGTTTGGGACATGTGGCTCATTTGCTGGCTTATGTATCTTCTATCATGTATATGCATCAAACTAATAACAAAGACAGAATCATTTCAAACTATTGTTTGACCTGATTTCTGATGCCTGATTCCCTGGACATAACTTCCAAAGCTTATTTGATTAATCCCTTACAAGTGTGCCACATTCCACATACCACTCAGCAGCATCTGAATGTGCCATTTCTTTTCTGGCTATGGATACTGGACACTCTTTTATGTAAAAGTGCATAATGCAAACGTAACTTTCTGTATAGCAGTTTTTATCAATGCCAAATAAAGTTTTATTCAGATCATTTTAATGCATTTCTACCCACCTGTGGAGGAGAGTGTTGATGAGGAGGCACTGGGCGATAATGAGAATCCATGTGCTTTGCTTCAGGACTTTGACCACTGGATGTTTCATCACCTAAATTGATACAAAAATGTGTTATTATTGATTGGGATTGTAGATAATCATAGCACTAAATCCCCTGTGAATGCATACTTTGTAGGTACAGTACTATATATAAAGGAAGCTCTGTAGTCTATACAATCCCATCATTAAGCTGTTGCATTTGCTGCCGTTTCCTGGACTTCTAATATCGGAACTCGAAATAATTTAAGCAACACATGGCAATTTGGCTCATTTCTTTGCTCTTTAGCTCCCCCTAGAATTACGGGATGCCATTAAAACAAATCTTCATTTGTGCCTTGCAAATGTATATCCATGCTAATTAATATATCATTTAAAAAAGGGCCACAAAGTTGTCGTCAAAAGCCCATAAAAGAAAATACTGTGGACAGGGCACAAAATCTTGAACTGTGGCATCCCAGCAGCTCTGGGGCAGATGAATACCCAGGTATGCGCATTACATTAGAAACAAAAAATAAAAATCAATTTTCACACCAAACTAAGTGAGGACCAACTACTTTGACCCAGGTTTTACTTTTTGATTATGACTTTGCAGTCATACAGGTCAGTGTTCTAAAGGGACCGTTGTTTTTGTATGTTATCAGTAACTGGTGTGTACATGCCCACTGTCAAGTGACAACATAAAATGTCTGACAAAAAAGTAAAAGCCAGCTGGGGTCTACTGAGTCTATGCCTTTTTAACCTATTTTTTTACACAAACAAGGGAAGAAAAGCAAAAAAGAAATTCACCAAAACAATCTGAAAACATGAGCGTGAGTGATCCCTGACAACAACAGCTGGTACTGTAAAATTCCATACAATCCTGGAGAAAAGATTGCTGTTTCTATTTTTAATCTCATTATTTCACAAAAGAAATCTTACAATATTTATGACTGTTTTGTTGCTGTTTAGACCTGAAAGATTTATGGGTTTTACCACACCCACCCACAGCTTTGCAGAGCTTAGACTATTACCTTGCACACATTAACACAAGCACACACACAGATGTGCAAAATATTGCTTCATTTAACCGGTATGCAGCTGGAATGAACCTGCTGCTTCTGTCTTTCATATGCATGTGTCTAAGCAGGAGTTCTTGTCCCTCCTGGGAATAACTCAGGTAAATGAGTGGATTAGGAGAGGAGAGTGTTGCTACTGGCGGAAAATACTCATCCACACCCGCACACACATAAGCCAGAGACATTCTCATACAACATAGCCTGTCAGCAACATTCACGCTGTGTGCTTTTTCATATTTACTGGTAAGAGCACGAGCACATAGGCCTGCACACACCTGCTTGGGCAGAAACCTGATTCTGTCTGTTACAATACACATTGTACTGCAGTACAATGGACCATTTGAGTTGCAGTGGAACAAGGTGAGTTTGTAGAAGATCACTCACTGATGTTGATATTACATCACAGAAAGCAAGCAAGAAAAGAATCTCTAAGAGTTATAAATATGCACACACAAAGCATGGAAAAATGCAGGCACCGACAATCTCCTGCATGAAAATATCGGTATACCAGATGCATGATGTGTTTTTGTTTTTGACTGTGAGCTGATGATTTTGATGATTTACTCAGAGCAGAATGTTCACCAATTAGGCATCTGTCCTTTATTGTGCGTTCCCTTGACAAATAGAAGCATGAAGAAATATGGTGACACTAGGTTCACTGCTTTGCAAATGTGTTTGTGCACATTTTTTGTGTGCATGCATGTGCAGTCTGCTTGTGTCCATCTGTTCCAATTGAACTGAAAACCTTGAGTCACATCTGGCTTGAACCCTTTAAGAGAACAAAACTAGGTTGTATGATTATTTTTTTGATTCTTCACTTAAATGACTGAAGACAGAGGAATTCATTACTCAATTTTAGTAAGGTGTTGTTCTTACAATTGTGCTTGTTAGGCGGAAAAATAGAGTGAACAAACTGGATCCATTTGGATGAATAACAATTTATGACATTAGGCCTTAAGGCATAATTTTGCCTGGTCTTGCTAATACAAATTATCATGCATGACTTGTATATCTTAAAATAATCTGCCAGATAAAAAATGTTGACTGAGGGGAAAGAAAAGGTATGCAACAAATTAAAAAACAAGGGATTATCTATTTATTTTATTATCTCTTTATTTACCCCTTTATGAACAGAGTTGATAAACCCATTGAGTTAATTCATTGCCATGTCTCTCAGCATTTGAGCTTCAAAATGTTTTTGGGCACTTGGACGCAGAATCACAAATACGTAGAAACATGTGAGGTGCTGGTCCTTTAGCTTTGCTTTGCTGTGGATATAAAAGGAGTGCTCTGCTTTTAACATTTTTGCATTTTTAACATTAGTCACAGCCGTTATCTATGATATTATCATTTTTATCTATTAGGTATAAGTAATGTATGTACTGTGTACTGTGTATTTCTACACTAAAATACAGGATAAAAATGTATTTATCCCTCTAATTTCAAGTCAGCTGTCAGTCTGCATGTATATTTCAGCATTATCTGCCATCTGAGATGTGTAACAAAGCTCCTCCTGCATGCCATTTTAGGATGGTTTTCTCTTAGCAACAATCCCCCAGCATGTCGTCTTATATGGTTTATAGGCAAGGCATAAGGGCCCACACATATACACTCACACCGATACGCACTGGAGGTGAGTGATGAACAATGTCATTGGATCCATTCATGGGGTACTTCAACCCATACTGCAATGAGTTACGCGTGAGGGTGTGTGCAAGTGTGTGTGCAATAATAAGGATTCAGGAGTGACATTTGAAGGACCCTGTCAATGAATTGCAATGAAGACAGCAATATCCAGGTCAGGGATATCGCAGGAAGGTTCCAGCCTTGTTCGTGCCACCCAATATATGAAACGCAAACAGCTCCATTCATGCAGTTTCAATCCCCACAGGAGCTGAGCTGACACCTCACAAGGACTGAAAAAAATGGTGACCGTGTTCTGACGAGGGGAGGCTGGTGAAAACCTTAGGACGGTGATCCATTATCCCCTCCCAGTCAAGCTAGATAAGTGTGTCCGTATCACCATAAACTTGTAAATTAACCACTTTTACAAATAGTAAAATGGAAATGGAATTGGACTGTATGACTGTGGGAAAGTGTCATCCAATAAGAGCCCCAATCAAGTGGAAAAGGGCCATAAATCAGAGCTGTGGAGACCCACAAGACACAAAGTAGTTACAAAAGACTTGTGTATCACACACACACAAACACAATGTGGGCAAAGCTACAAAGGTTGTCATACCAATTTTTTTTCTTGTTTTAAAGTGAAACAAAACCAGTACTTCACATACCTTAACATAAGAATACCCAAAAGTACATAAATGGAACACGGTGAGTACTTGTTTAACACAAATGTGGCTGAAATAGCAATTTCACAAACTTATGTGCTAAAAATAGGTGCCTCAAGTACACACACTCACACATGCTCGGAAATTTACTGACCTTATCTATTTTGTACATCCAGGCATACTCAAACAGTATACAAATAGATTTTATCGAATAAAAGATTTTATAAAAAATTAAAAAATTCTCCATTGCTAATCTGATGCAGTGCATATTTTGAAGTGTACCAAAATCCTTTCTTGGATTGGATTGTACTTCACAGCTATGTGTCAGTCAGGATACTCAATAATTTGCAAAAATTTGGGTTTGATGTTCTTTCCACAAATAACTCTTAAAACACATCTTCAGCACTAACTGGCTAAATAAAAACGCCCATACAGAGCTGTTCTGTAGTCCCAGCACTGTTGCATCTATTGATCTTTGGTGTTTTTTTATACATGGAATACATGGAGTTAAACTGTTTAACAAACAAAAACAGCTCATATACAAAGCAACATTTTTGATAGACAACTACAATTTGAAAGAAATATACCAACACATATTCTGCATCGACAGTCCTCTACAGTGATCTTTTTAAGGTAGAGATCAATATCTCACTTCAGATTTAATCCAAAATGTAATTTGTTTACATGGTTTTTCAACCTTTTCTTATGTTCTGACTTTAGCATTCCAGCCTGATCTGTAAGCATCGTTCCATGAAAAGCCAATACCCTAACATCAGCATAACTGTGTTAGATTATCTCCCTGTCATTCCTGCAGACACACCTCTGAAACTAAACCCCACTGACAACACAGCTTCTTCCTAATAACTGCAGACGGTGCTGTGTTTGTGCTGAATATTTGTTCCTAGTTATGCTTTGATCATCCTCACTTGTATGTAAAGCAGATGATTAATTAAGTGCGTATGTTTGTGTGTGTGGAGAATGCTCAGAAAGTATGACCCGGTTCAAAGTTAAAAAGCAAGCATGTGTTGTTACAACCTCGGTCATCCTCTTTATAAACAAAAGTAAAGCAAAATGCAACAGAAGTATTTGAAAAACGTACTTATCTCACCGTAACATTAATACCAGCAGCAAAAATAAAGTTTTTTTTTCTCCCAACCGACTATTTGCTATTACTTATCCTTTAAATATGAACAATAAAGAAAGTGCCTTAATGATTTTGTCCAATTTCAAACATCTGTGCTGTACTGATGTTTGAAGCCCAGTTTGTATATTCAACAGATATTCCCACGTGGAGACATCCACACACAGACACACATACACAAATGACTCAAGGTGACCTTGAAAAGCGCCTGTGTGTGTGGGCGTGTAAATGGATCCCCAGCATTTCAAGCTGAATCCATGATGAGCATTTCATTACTTCAGTATCTGGTCCCCAGGGAGGAAATACACAAACATGCATGTTCATGCCATACACACACACACACACACACACAATACACATACACACAAAAAGCATTAAGAGAACAGTGAGAGGTTGATGCAGATTATACCTTCAACAATTTTTGTGAAATTACTAAATGACAAAAAACACAAAAAACTCTCCATGACGGAATTTAGCTTACTTATGGTAAACTTTAAAACAGACAACCTGACACCCTGAGAAAATGATTATTTCCTACACTGTATGTGTTCACCTTGATTTTTTTTT